TTTTATTAAGGCTAACAAGAATCGATATCAATCGGCCAGGATAATCTATACAGACAATCTTCATCTACAGCTTCAATTAACATCAAGGAAAATAACAACTTACATATAACGTATTCAAATTTCTAACGATAAAAGAAATTAGCACTGAAATCTTTCGATATGAAATCATGCTCTATGAAAATTATGAATAACAATTATACATCTACATCAGCGAACACGAACTATCAATAACATTTCTAGGCAGATTATGAGTAATGCAGAACATGTAATATAACGCATCGTATTCCTTTCCTATACATTGCAACAATTCATGAAACATATCAAATTTTGCAATTTAGCAACTAAAATACTTGGGCTGGTTACCATTACTATTCTTGGGCCCACATTTATAGATCATCATGCAAAGAACATCATCGATGAGCAAATATTTGAATGAAATAGACACAAAATGAAAACTTAACAACGAAAATAGTTTTCGAGCAAATAACGGAAATTGAATCCCGATCAAGATTTCCAATCATCTGCTACGACCAAAAAGTTTCGCTTGTTGTGGTGATCGATGTTGTGAATTTTTAAAGCGGCAGTTACTTTGTGACTGTTCAAATACACCGATTAATTCTTGCTGAGATTATTCAATGATCTCTCCCTCAGAAATAAAATCTCTGAATGGAGATCATAAATTATTCGTCAGAGACATTATCAATGAGCCAACATCGCCGATAAACTTCAAATAAACGATCGAAAACCAAATTCAAAAATCAACAAAAATTTTCAGAACGAAAAGGATAGAAGAAGGAATGAGGAAAGATGGAAAGAGGAATAAGAAACAATAATGATAAAATTGATGATATAAGTAAGTGATAATGGTGATCAATATCAACAACAGAAGAGGTACTAGAATTGGAACATAATGAAATATTAGAAGAACAGTTTTTGAGGAAAAACCGGGAAAATGGTAAGAAAATGAATAGAAAGTTTCTGGAAGAAATTCAAAAGAACAGAACGAATAAATGAATGGGAATGATCGAATAAATATTTCATAAAGGAGATAAAATAACGATTAAACCTATTCATTAGTATGNAAAAATCATAAAAATTCAAACTTTCTTCAATGTGCAATGATTGAAATATTCGATCTTGATCAACGAGTGAAAACTGCGAAAGAAGAGGAAATTGTTTTCAGTAATTAGAGTGTTACTCGCAAAGAACAACAACACGCCCTTCCGATGATTCTCACCTATTCATTGTCAGATCCTCACTACATTTAGAAAGGATGAATGAGTGATCGATACTCTAAACAATTTCTTTCATCTCGCAAAATTCCTCTTGACTGAACATGATTTTGAAATTCAGATTCGAATAATCACTTTGCTACGCAATCTGCAATATGAAAAAGCCTACTTAGACAGCGAGAAAACGAAATTTGGTCACACTAATCGATCAACGAGATCAACATGGTGCTCATTGAGAAGCAGATAAAGCCGCTAGCTCAGCTTCAGACTTTTGCTGCTTTACTGAAGCAATTGCCGGATCTTCGATGAGATGCAAATAGTAGTGATTCAGAAATCGAGCCATCTGAAAACAATTACTTACTCGAGCCATTTTCTTGACAGTTATTCATATTAAATTACGATGAGACAAAGAATACAACCAAATGTGGGTAATTTTGTGATTAACATTTTCACTAAAGGAGGGTTTGTTTGCAGCCGTCCCTCTTTCATAGACATGTTGCTACAAGAGTATCTCGAATACGATGAATCTGATTCATCATTAAGGAAAAGATTCTTCCTAAAAGCAAATTTTATCATTGTTCTGGCAGGAATCGATCGTTGGTAAGGTTGAAAAAGAGTCGGAATTCCACGAAACCATCTGAGAAAGAAATAAACTTTCACGGAATGAAATGTAATTAATACCTGAGTGGATTGTGCAGTGACATTTGTGAGATGACAAACGAACAGTAATATGTTTCGTGGTTGCACATGCCATGCAAAGCGCATGAATACCGATGAATAAAGGCATAACGCTGTTGTCATAGGTCCTACAATGCATTTCCAATCAATCAAAAACGTTCAGTCAAAGCTAAATTCCAAAATCCACACTTGATAATACCGAACATCCCCGACCTAATTTATTTGAATTATAGACGAAATTCCGTCCGCTAACAATAACTGCCTTTTCTAAATTGAAAAGATA